ACCTTTTTAATATTTTGCCGCATCTTTTGTTATAAACTAGTTGAAGTGCCTTCATCCTAACAAATGAATGAGAAGAGTACATTAACCTATCATTTACAATTAGAGAATTAAGAAAATAAAATTGTTCAAAGAATATCACAAGATTTTACCTCATTTTCAATCTTCCTAAGCATTCCCCTTTTTCTTTTTGGCTAAACAAAACTATTTTGATTATCTGCTGCATGCATGTATATATAGAAGCGGGAACAAGAGGTTTCATACCGGATTCCATGGCCAGTTTGGAGGTGATGTTCATTACAGCGTGGCATAACAGCACCAGAACCCTAGCCAAGCACAGCATGAAATCCCTTGACATTCTGTTTCTTACTTTCTTTGTCCAAACAATAATTACACTCTTAATCTAAGGTCATAGATTAGATAAACTTTAATAAATTATATATAATTAAAATTAAATAATAATGAATAAAATTTAGAGTTAGAATTGATAAATTATAATTCAAATATCTAATAACAAAAATAAAGAAGTCCATTTTAACGTCAATTATTAGACGAGTTACAAATAAAAACTAATATAAAATAATAACACAAAAACTATCATTATTTAAACTTATAAAGAGAAACTAAAATAAATCTTAAATACTTCCATCGAAAGCAATGTATTTGAAGTCTTTCGAATTTTCTCTCATTTTCTTAATTAAGAATTTTAAATTGGCTTAAACTATCTTATTTAAATTTAGCAAAATTCAAGATAAGATGACCTAACGATTATTAAAAGTGACTCAATTATTAAAAAATAAATAAACTCACAAATTTATCTAATTTTATACAAGTTAACTAAATTTATACAATTTTATACGTCTGTTGAAGGGAAAAAGCCTCCCCAGGAGCAGGAGGGCTTATTTCACCTTGTTGGCTGGACACGGGTAGGATTGGAAGGGCGTGCAGGGGTTGCCCAGGGGGCTGAAGAAGGTGAGGAGCATGTACTCACTTGTGGTGCCCATTTGTGGCCAGGGATTGTGCTCATTTTTCATTTTAGTTTCGCTTTTATTTATGTAATTATTTAATTAAAATAATTTATATAATATTAATAATGAAATTAATTATTGTTTTTATAGTTTTTAAAATTAATCAATGTTTAAAAAATAAGTAGTAATTGATATATATTTTGATTCAACACACATACTAATATTTACTGACTCACTTATTAAATTTGAGAAAAAGAATTTTTATCACTGTAAATTCTAATTTAAAAATAATAATATCTTAATAAAAGTGTTGTGAGTGTGTTAAATCAATGAGTGTGTTAAATAAAAAGTGTATCAATAATTGTCATTAAAAAATAAAATAATTATAACCTTATTAAAATACAAGTTAGAAAATCTGCTTTTCTTTTCCCGGAGAAAACTACTTCAATAAATAATCATGTGTCTATGATCTCCCCCTTTTGTTCTACTTTAATTGACAAATTAATTAATTGAGTAAAATAAATACTTTTGTAAATATGTGGTTAAATACGGGAAAGTTTGATTGCAGTGGATTAAAAATAGATTGAAAGGTGAGAACGGACAATTCAAATGAAATAAAAAAAATCTTCCTAAAACGTCAATTAATATAGAAAAAAATATATATATCATGCCAATGCACTAATTTTTCTCAATCCCTCGCTATTTATACCACTTTCCTTTTCTTCATCTTACATTCTTTTTATATTAATTATTATTAAAAAAACCAAAATTGTCATTAATTTCATCATTAATATCATATGAATTATTTTAATTAAACAATTACTTAAATAAAGGTTAACTTTTACTTTTTCAATGGTAATTAATGAAAAAATAATGTAATAATTATACTTTTAATCTGACTAAAAGTTAAAAAGCCTAATTTATTATATATTATATATTAAATTTAATAACTCTCAATTTCACCAATTTAATTTTACAATTTCAATTTCACATAACCTAAACAATTTTACTTAAACTTTCAATTTTAACGACCTTACCACCCAGTCCCACTACCTCTATCACCACAACTACAATTAAAAACTAGGTAAAATTATATGTTAAGCTCTTGAATTAACTTAAATTCACTATTAAACCTCTAAATTTTAATTAATGCATATAAGCCCTTAAAGTCCACAATTCGAGCAATTTAACCTTTATTCCTATGGCAACAATTTAACCTTATTCTTATTATAATTAAATAATTAAAGATTAAATTACTCAAATCATAGAGTCTAAAAACTTATATACATTGATTAAAATTTAAAAATTTAATAACAAATTTAAAATTAATTAAAAAAACTTAACAGATTATTTAACCTAAAATCTATCATTGCTTAATGGTCGACAAGATAAACAGCTTTAAAGAAAAGAAAAAATACGTTAAGTATCTACCACTACAATGGTCAAAAAAATGAAAAGTTCAAAAGATAAGAAAAAACGCGTAAGGACCCACAACCACTATCACCGCACTTACATTTGAAAGCTATCCTTGCTTAATGGTCGACAAGAAAAAAGCTTTAAAGAAAAAAAAATGCGTTAAGTATCTACCACTACAATGGTCAAAAAAAAAGAAAAGTTCAAAAGATAAGAAAAAACGCGTAAGGACCCACTACCACTATCTCCACAATTATAGTTAAAAGCATCATTTGCTTAATAGCCGACAAGAGAAAAAGCTTTAGAGAAAAGGAAAAATACGTAACCATCTTTCACTACAATGGTCAACAAGATGAAAAAGTCTAAAAGAAAAGAAAAACCGGCATAATGACCTACTCTTCCCACTACTTCCACCGATGTTCCTACCGCTACCGCTACCACCACCGCTATCGCTCCCACTACCACTACATTGTTTAAAAGAAAAGAAAAACCGGCATAATGACCTACCCTTCCTACTAGTTCCACCGATGTGCCTACCGCCACCGCTATCGCTCCCACTACCACTACAATTGAAAAGCTAGATTAATGGTCAAAAAGGCACTGGGTAGGGCCGTTTTCCATTTTCTCAACATGAGCGACCAAAAAGCCAACGAGGCGGTCGGTAGGGCTATTTCCTCGCAGCTTCGTGTTGCTTAATGGTCAAAAAAGAAGAAAACGCGTAACACGATGCATGGGGGACGGAAAACGCGCATTGGAATAAAAAAAAAAGGAAGCTTGCCTAATCCCTTCAAAAACGCGTAGAATTAATTAGTAACAATTAACACAGGTCATCCATAACATAATTAAAAAATTCATAAAATATTATTTTTTATTAATTTTAATAAAATTAAAATTTAATTAATAAAATAAAAAATAAATCTTCGTATTAACAAATCCATAATTCTTTGAACTTTAACCAGATAATTACGTCATGAGAAGCTATTACGAGTTTTTTTCTCAACATCAGCGGCTTCCAAGAAGCCAAAGACTTCATCGCTTTATGGTCAAAAAAGAAGAAAACGCGGAACACGACGGGGAGGGAAAACGCGTATTAGAATAAAAATAAAGGAAGCTTAGCCACTCCCTTTGAAAACGCGTAGAATTAGTAATATAATTAGGGAAACGCGGAATGACCTACCACTTCGACTATATTTGGGAGCTATCATTGCTTAATGGTCAAGAAGGTCGAAAGTTCAGACAAAAAAAAAATACAGAAAATAAACCTATCACTACCACTACACTCTTCAAAAATGTGTAATGAAAGAGTATCCTTGAGAAAAATACATCAGACCTGGAATTAAAAAGAAAGAAAGGAAAAAGAATAAAAGCGAAGTGTAATTATGGGACAAAACAAGCGGGTTCATCTTCCTCCCCGCAAGGTGTAGAATAAAAGCCTGCTTTGATCAGTTTTAAATTAAGCCAACGTGGTTTCTAACTTTAACAAAACCACTCAAAAATAATGTTTCAGTTTTTCAGCCTCTTGACTTGCCCACTTTGCATCTCGTCTGTACTTGCTGGAACATGTAGGGATTCTTTTATGCAGCATGAAAACATGGTATCCAAAGCAAATAACCGACTGGGCTGGGCTGCTGTTTGGTACTCTTTGGTATGGACAACTTGGAATACCAGGAATGAGGTAGTATTCAAAGGGGGCATGCGAATGTGGATTGGATGTTTGATCAAACACAAGTGAGGTCTTTTTTGTGGATAAAAAATATAGGGAAAGGAGGAAGTTTTACTTTTTCGGATTGGATTCTAAATCCCAACGGTTGTAAAATCTCTTAAGGGATCATATACTATGCCCTCAATTGGCAAGGAAACGTTTGAGTTAGAGTATTCTTTTTTTATGTAAATGAGTTTGAATATCCTTGTACTCAAAAATATAATCTTTTTTGCCTTTAAAAAAAAAATAGTTAACAAGAAAAAAAAAATTCGATTCTAAAATTTCAAATAAGGAATTTCATGAAATCATATTCTAGAAATGAACATAAACCTCCCAGATACGTCGTAGGTTGGAGTAATTGAAAGCGCAGCAAGCAATATCTGCAGCTTCTCCGATGGCTAGAATAACTCCGATTTCGTTAACCATGCGTACTTGCCCAACAGAATGCTCAGAGCCTTAGACAGTAAAGGAAACCCAAACATTAAATTTCTTCAAAGTAGAAATTAGAAACCCAGACATTGGGATTGAAACTGATGGGATGACGGAAACTGGGGGTGAACAGCTCCGCCTTTTGCAGCTGGGGTGGACAATTGGGAGTGGATAGGTGAGCCTATATTTATAGCCGCGCCATGATCATTAAACAAAGAAAAAAAAAACGTCATCATCATTAAATAAAGAAAAAAAAAGCGGCATGGTCCAATCTGGAGGCCCATGTGGTAAAATTGGAAATGGGCCTAATCACCATTACTCAACCGATGGCCCAAAAGGTAAATTTGGGCCTGCCGTATGGCAACGTGCCCAGCCCTAGTGGTGTGATATTCCATACTTGCAAAAAGAAATAATAAAGCCACGGTCAAAACCCCTATTTAAGTCTCTTAACTTTTATATAGTCTCTTATTAGTTCCTCAATTAAAGAAATTTCCTTTTTAATCCTTAATTTTATTTTATTTTTTGGCTCCTTTTAAGCTCCTATAATAAATTTTTGATGATGTAGCAAGCTAATCAAGAGATGTGTCTTTTTTATTTTTATTTTTAAAAAAAAAGGTTATATATGTCAATTTTGTTTCCTAAACGCTTAATTTGGAAAATTTTTTATGTTTAAATTATTTTAAGTAATTTTTAATTCTTAACTTTTGAAAATGTACTATTTTTTGTTCGTCTTCCCATTAAGTGATGATGTCATTAACTCATTTAAAAATTCATTTTCATTCAATTTTTAGGTGACATGTCCATAAGATATGAGTCTCACTAAAAATATTTTTGGGCTCCTTGAATCTACCATAAGTTAATTTAATGATGTGTCATTGCTATATCATAAAAAAAGTGTCATTTTGAACTGAGTTAATAGTTATGCCGTTCTTAATCGACGAATAACGAAAAAAATACTTTTTTATAGTTGAACAACAAAAAAAAGTGTTTAAAATTATTTGAGGATCCAAGGTATTTAAAATTAAAAATCTAAAAACTAAAATGGACATAAAATATGAACCTTTTATAAACGATGACATGACAATTTATTTAAACGAATGCAATATTCAATGACGTGGAGTACCTATTTGTTAAACATAAAAATTTAATTATAAAAACGTAAATTACAAAGTTGTCCCCAACCCTCCTTCTTTAAAGATGTCCACTATGTGGCCGTTACCATCCGTCACCTTTTCCTAGCAAGTGCCAAGCAAGCGTTCCTTGCCTAAGCTGGAGCTACTAGCGTACCACCATACAAGGAAACGAGTGATTCTCACTCCGCTACGTGGGGTATTGGTGATTTAATTAAGTATTTTATTATAAATATAAATAAAATGTTTTTATATACTTTAATTTTTAAGAAGATTTTAAAAAATTAAAATTGATTACCTTAATAATGACAATGCAGCTACCCTTAAAAGCAGTATTAAAGAAGAAGAAGAAGAAGAAGTAAATAGCACAAACTGCTCCTAAATCAACAAAGCCTTCAAAGACTGAGAGCAAAGCTGAAGTCACTCTTTTACATGATAAACGTTGTTGGCAACCATTTGACAATACCATTATTGCATGGGTAAATTAAATTAACTTCCTATTTTAGTTTTTAAAGTTTTAAAATTTGGCTCTTTTTTTGTCTCAAAATATGAATTTATTCAATTTAATTCATGGATTAAATCAGGGGTGCTTACAAAAGTTTAAAGGCCAAAATTGGGGTTTTAGCTTAGGGCACTTTTGTGATTAAATAAGCGTTCAACCAATATAAATAATGAATTTTGTTCATGTCATCAATTTTGCAAAACCAATACTTAGTTAAAGTGATGTTTGTATAACTTTTTTTCTAAGGAAAAAGGTTTTAATTGCTCAAAGTTCTAGAGGATAAAAGATGGACAAATTTAGTGAACATAAAGTTATTGTAAAATCCTTGCATCGCAGGACAGGAGCTACTAGTTTCCTCAAATTAATTAAGATAAAAGGGCAAATATTCATACTTTGTAAGGTAAAGGGCAAAAACCCTTCAGCTTGATAAGTTGAGGAGCAAAGTATAGGTTTTTGCCGAAAATTATGTTTCTGAAACATTAGGGACTTCTTTTTGTAAACCTCACTGCCTTGGATCCGTGTCAGAGGAAACAGATCCGCGAGAATTGTCTCTGTAAATCTCCTCTCGCCTAGAAAACCATCCTACAATCAATATACTAGCTCCAGTTCTTTCATCAGCTTCATCAGTTCATTCAAAAGTATCAAACTTTTAGATGTCTACAGCGGATTTTGGTGAAGTTTCTCGGGTAAGTTGATCAATCTCTCCCTTTCAGATTCCTGTATCAGATATTCAGATTCTTTTGGTTCTTGCATCTGAAATAGACACACATAAGGAGATGTAATGTATATGCATGTAGATTATTGATGGAAGTTGGTTGTGTACTGTTTTGATCTTGAGTTGGCAATCAACAAATCTGCAGTTTTTGAGAGGGTTTTCAAGTTTACCCTTTTGTTTGTTTGTTTGTTGATTCAATTGAGAAAAGAAAACCCTAAAAGGGAAATTGACCATAGGTGAATATATGCTATTCCTCAGAAAGAAAATTGCCTGCAAAAGTTTCAACCTCGTGGTAAAATAATCAGTTGAAAAGAGAGATTAAATTGTCTGGTATTGTTGGAATACGGCAGTAAAGTTGCTAACTTGAAAGCCAGTTGCTTGTTGGGGACTCATAAAAAGTGTTTGCTTCATTCTGATAATGTGAATTTTCTCTTATGTGCAGCCTCCAGGTGAAAATTATGCCAATCCGAAGACGTGTTTCTTTCATGTTCTATTCAAGGTCAAGTTTTTCTCTGCTAGTCTTATTAAGGAGTTTGCTTATATGCCCGCTTATCTTAGAGTTTTTCGTTTGTTGTTTCTTGCAGGCTGCAGCTTTGGTATTTTACATACTTTCTGCACTCTTTTTTGATAACTTTGTCATAATTTTCGTGGTGACTGTTCTTCTTGCTGCCCTTGATTTTTGGGTGGTTAAGAATGTAAGTGGCCGTATATTAGTCGGTTTGAGGTGGTGGAATGAAATTAATGATCTTGGTGAGAGTGTATGGAGATTTGAATGCCTTGACCAAGGGCTTAGCAATTTCCATGATCAAATTATGCCTGCTTGTATATTTATGTTGAATTGTTTAACTGTTTGAGGTTTTTTTCTAAGGTTAGCATTTTCCTGATAGTGTGTGTATCATTTTTCTTCATCTTCTTTTAATTTTTTCTTGTCTTTCCTG